ATAAATGGAAATATTAATAGACGAGTCTCCTTAAATATGACTAAAAAATAGACAAAATGCATAAATAAGATTATCATTGTTTTCTTATTAAAATATGACTTATTCAATCCTAATAGGAAAAGTTTTCTACTTTTATGAGATCACATAAGTCCTATTTTATGAATATAAGTACTCTTATTTGTACACTTTGTCTAAGTTTCAGTCATATCTAAAGAAATTTCTAATGACTGTAACCATAATGTAAACAACCAATTAATCAATTACATAAACATTAACAAGCTTAGTGTGATTGACACTAGGGGGTGTTTGGTTGTTTGCACGTTAAAATTTTACACGTGAACTGATTACATGTGAAGTGTAGGGACACAAACATTTTACGAGTAAAGTCTAAATATATTGTTTGGTAGTTCTTACATTAAAACTTTACATTGTTTGTTTGGAAAGTAAATTTTACATGCAACATATTTAAAAAACGATAAATAGCCCTTTAGTAAAACAAGGAAAGTGGCGTGCAACACATCAATTTAACTCAAGTAAATTTTCCAATATTTATCCTTTTCAATTATTTTCAGTGATCAAAATGATTAATGAATGAATTTATCAGTGAGGAATAATAAGTCTAGATTGTTTGCCTTCTTCAAACGCAAATGGCAGAAATAAATTTATACCCAGAAATTATGTTTGCCTTCAAAAGAAATTGCACACTTGGCAAAGGATTAGGCGGCTAACATATACTCCGTATATAACTACGAATCAACCAAAGTGTAGAAGCCGTAATTCCATGTTCAGTATTCTCCATCGTATATATATAAACGGGTGTAAAATAGTTTACTACCCTCCACCCACGTAAAATATTTTACATGGTACGATGTAAATTTTTTAAAAGTGTTCTACAGTTTACATTAAGTAGTTAAAACAAACGGTGTAAAATGTTTACGTCTCCACGCTTTACACGCAAAGTGTTTACTTTACATCATAACAAACACCCCTAGGTGTGATTAGCATGTGCATAATTATAATATCCAAATTATCATAAAAACAGCCACATAAAAGACTATTTATATTTTTTGCAACGAACTATTCATATTAGAACAACAAAAGTTCTGATTTTAAAATTCACAATCAATAATTTGAACATAAATAATACGGAGTACATTATTTCATAATTAGGAAATTTGATTTTGTTGAAATTAATTCAATATCAATACAATAAATCAACCATATAAATCAGGTCATAAATTATTTCATGCATTCGAAAAGTGTGTGTGCTTCTAAATCATTCTTACGTTATTCTTGCTTTATTAATTCAATATCAACTACACAACTCACTTTTTCTTATCCCGCTCCACCTCCTCATAACCTCCTCATATTCTAATGTCAGTGAGACGAAAGTAGTTTATCTAAATGAATTGAAATTCAACTCAAATCTATATAATATAGAGTTGGTATATGTGAAATTGAGTTGTGATACGTTACCTACTTTATAAGAATTTAATTTCAATTATATATGAATAAACTCACAACTCGCTAATTATATATGAACATTTTTCCAAAATGAAAATAAAAGAAATGTAAAATTATAAAACATAAGTACTATTTTCCCCCTAAATTGAGGCAATCATCTTGAAACTTTACAGTCATACATTTCAAGTATGTTACAATTACTTTTGTTTATGTAATAAAAACACAATACTAACATTTGAATGTTGTACACTAGCTGTTTTCATCCCGATTTAGAGCAATTTCATATTATTCAGTCCACATTATTTTTTATTTAATTATATTTGATCATATATAATAAAATACTCCCTCCGTCCCAATTTGTAAGATACATTACGGTTTACGATGTTTGACTGATGATAAAGTAAATTGATCCTTATCAACACTCAAATTAGTTCTAGAAAATAAAATTTACATATTCATAAACTACATTAAAACCGCTACAAAACCTGCAAAAATTAATTCAAATTTCATAAACTTTTGATATATAAAATAAAAGATTAAGATTGATTTATGTTGACCAAGTGAATAGTAAATGTATCATACAATTTGGGACTGAGGGAGTACTTTGAATTTATTTTGTTAAGTATATCCTCGTGATTTAATAATTTTTTTACTATCTTCAAAATCTTATCAACTTAATAATCATCACATTGCTTTAGTGATTCGAATTTTCAATCCAATACATATTTTCCTGTCCCACAAATTAAACTTAGCCATATTCACTCCATCCCCTTGATCTCTTGATCAATGTTGGTCAAATTTGACCAACAATATCTTTTTATACGAAATTATTTGAAATTTGGAAATTATATGAAAATATTCTATTTTTAAAAATCCTTTCATAAAAGTATAAACTTTATGAGTTTGACACAAATACAATACAGCGCAACTGCAATCATTGTCTAAAATTTATTATCATTGATCAAGAATATCAAATTTGACCAAATTTTATAGAACCTAAGGGAGTATAATGTCATAATATTGTCATTATTGATGTGTTTATTACTTAACTTTTCCTACGAGAACGTGTCAAACCATTTTTATTGAACTATTTGACATGGAGTATTTATAAATTATTTATATACTACGTAGTACGGCAGATTATATCGTGCAACCGGGGCACCATGAGGATGGTGCACCCGGCTGCAAAACGACGGAGTATTGATGAGACCTGCTTTCTTTATTTTTATCCTTTGTTTTTAAAAAATGGTAATAACTTTTTTATTTTTGATCCGATTTTTATAAAATTTATATCAACATTTTTTTATTTTTAATGATCTTTCAAATGAGACCAATATTGCTTATGTAATTTTAAGAAATTATCAAACTATTATATTAATGTGTATTGGATTATAAGGAAAACTAAACTAAATTTAATACAAAAAAATAATTGTGTAAATCACAATTTATCTTAAAATTGTGTATATAAAAATTTATTGTATTAGGTATGTATACATGTGAGTTACATATTTTTATATGTGAAGTTACATATTTTTACACGTAAAGTTACATATTTATACACGTGAGTTACATATATATACACACGAGTTGCATTTGACTTGCCTGAACGCGAGTTACATATATTTACACGTAAAGTTACATATTTATACACGCGAGTTACATATTTATACACACAAGTTGCATTTGACCTATCTGAACGCAAGTTACATATTTTTTTAAGTAAAGTTACATATTTTTACACGTAGAGTTACATACTTATACACACGAGTTGCATTTGGCCTGACAGAACGTGAGTTACATATTTGAACACGTAAAGTTACATATTTTTACACGCAAATGTTAATATGTTAAAATTACATAGGCAATATTGGTCTCATTTGAAAGATCATGAAAAATAAATAAATTTGATATAAATTTTATAAAAATCGGATCAAAAATAAAAAAATTATTAACATTTTTAAAAAAAGGGGAAATAAAAAATAACAAAACCAAAATATACAAACTTCTTCTTCACTCTCCCAGGTATACCATGCGCACCGTGGGACGGTTGCATGGTATACGAACTGACGTACTACTTTGCACTATTTCATTAAGTTTAGCACTGTTTCGGTATATTAATGACACTGTTGTTATATTATTTGGGAATGTCATGCATGTTTTTAGACTTATCTTCTAAGTGTGTTATTATCTCTCCTTTTTAAACTACTTATCAATTTAAAAGATTTAAACAAGTCATTTTTTCTCTTCTAGATACATCCCGTGCATCGCACGGGTACTTCGTCTAGTATAGATGAGAAGAAAAGCTAGGTGAAAAAGAGAAAGAAGCAACGACTGAATCAGCCCAAAGCATGACCAAAGGAGGAGGGGAGGAATCAAAACAAGAGGTTTCAAAGAGAAGGAAGATCTGGGAGAGTCGGACAGAGAAGGTACAAGAGGACAACATGGCTTTGGATGGGGCAAAAAACGGGGAGGAGGCGGGCTTTGCTCTTTAAGCCCGCCAAAGCTGCCGATGGGAGTGTGGAGGCCGCAAGTCCGAGGGACTGTTCGAGTTTACTGGCTGAGGCAGAAATCTTTTATTTTTTGTTTGGTTTACTTCTTTAGGGATTGTTATTTCTGTTTTGCTATTTGATTTTGGATGTAGGGGATAAGAGGAATATGGTGACCGTTTTTGGCTCTTTGGTTCTCATTTATGGATCAATGAATTATATTGCTTCTTTGAAGGTGATTAATTCCGAGTCTGGTTCGCGGGATAACGATTGTCAGATTTCTTTTTGTGTGTTTACCCATACTTTGAATTATCTGTTTTCAATCTAAGCCGAATTCTTTCAAAAAAAGATTTTATTTTATACATAGCATTTGAAAATAAATTCTGTTAAATAACATCTATCTATATATTAATGGAAAAATTGATAGTAATAATCCCAACTATTGGCGGTCCGCTCATAATAATCCCAACTATTGATTATTCCAGGATAATCCCAACTTTAGGGACATTCCGTCAATAATGGTCCCTATGAATAAATTCTTGTAGTTTTTAAAGTGGATGAGATGAGATATAACAAGTAATCCCTATAAATAATCTCAACTTTTAATTTTTACGTTTAATTTTTATTTAAAATTCACTTTTTATAGAGGTAATATCTGGTCATGGACCATTATTGGCGGGCAGTCTTTATAGTTGGGATTATACAAAAATAATCAATAGTTGAAATTATTTTCAGCGGACTGGCAATAGTTGAGATTATTATTTTCAATTTTTCCTATATTAATTAATCTAGTTAAGTGGCTTCCCGCTCATTTTCAGGGGTATTTTTGTAACGGTATATGTTCTTCTTAAGGTTGGGATTTCTTCTCGGTACACAGACCTAATTTTCTAGAGTTTTGCTATAGGTACCCCCAAAATGGGGTACCCCCATTTGTCCCCCACCCTAATGGGTGGCCACAAATAGAGCAACTCATTTAAGTGGAGTCCCATTTAAATGAGTTGCTCTATTTGTGGCCACTCATTAGGGTGGGGGACAAATGGGGTACCCCATTTTGGGGTACCTTTAGAATTTTCCAATTTTCTATCTCTTCTCCACGACTCCACATATTCTTTACTGCTAAGGTTTTCATTCAACGTGAAAGAACGCTCCAGCCGATCGATTGACCCTTTTTCTTTGAATAGATTTGCGATAAATCTCAACCTCTTCTAACTTGATGTTTCTCTTTAAGGTATTCTCATATATTATGCACTTTTTGTTGATTTAGTGTGAAGCTTTCCTTCTCCTAAAAAGAAAATCCTGAAATTCTACATTCTTGAAGGATTTAATTATGAGAAGGAGTAGAGGTGAGGTGTCGAAGAAGTCTATGTTGATTCTAAAATTGCCTTCTTTAGTCACTGTCTAGGATTGATTTAGCGGGGTCTAAAATGAATTTGAAGAATACGTATGTGTTCTCATACAAAATCCATGGATAGTCCAATAAACTCTTGGGAAATACACGAATAGTCATAGAAACTTTGATAATATAAAACTCTTGGGAAATACATGATTTCATCTATACAAAAACTTATAGCTTTACTCGCAAGGCTCGAAAGTCTATATTGTATTTTTTATTCATATCTAAACTCAATTAAGCCAAATGTTTTTGTTTCATTTCATGAAGCCAAATGTTTTTGTTTCAAACTGTTATAGTTTGTAAATTCTTGAGTGGGATCGTTTTATTGCTTCTGTGGAGGTCATTTTTTGTTGGCACTCAAGTATGGATTTATCCAGTTTATACTCAAGTAGGGATTTATCCCGTTGACTGGCATGGTGAGATTCAATATTCACAAGACAGAACAACTTCAACCAAGGTGAAAGCAATGTGGTAATTATATTCGAAACAATGTATGTTCAAGTTGGGTTAGCTTACTGTTTGCAGTTTTCATAGTTTACTGTATGTGCAAGTTCTGTGTAGTTTTTCATAATTTTGGCTCCCTCATCAATACTATGACATAGTACAAAGTTACAAATCCTTTTCGATATGTATAACCCTTACCTCAATTCAAAAGACCCACCATCTTTTCTGAAAAGGGTGCATGTAGTTATTTTGCTTGAAATAGCTATCGTTTCAGTTTTCATTACTTATATATTATTAATAACAATCCATTTGTTTTCTCTTCTTGCAATATGAGTCTTATAAGTAAGAGTACTGTTCTTTAAAAAAAAACTACAGAGGGTACTCTGATGTTGAATTTTATAATTACATGTTTTGATTAAATGTTTTATTATCTCAGGGACCAAAACTTTAATCACAAATTGATTTTTTTGTTCAATTCTTATCCATTGTCCGACATGGTAAATATCCAAATTGTATTCTGATATCAGTCTTTGACATAGTAAGTTAGTAACTATCAGAATAGTTTGAAATATTTATAGACCAATATGATCTCTTTATCTGGCTTCCTTTGCTTAAAATTGCTTTCCAGTTTACACATAAGAACAACAAGCTACAATTACACAGTAAATTGCTTTCTATGGTGGCCAAACACCAAGTTTAGCTATTGTTTGTCAAACATGATATTAATTGAGAGTTAGAAATGGACAGTATTCACACTGCTAGATTAATTATATACACATAGAGGAATGAGTTGTTTGACTCAAAAGAAAACACAGCAACTATGCCCTTATAAATTTTTTACATAAGTAATAAGTTTTTCATAACCTGTAATAAATTTCAACCATTTTTAGGAAGCTACATTAGTAACTCTTTACTGTAAGCTTTGATGCTTCCTTATGACTATATATATAGTAGTTTATACATATTCCTTTATAAAATTTATGAAGAAGGAAATTACATGAAAATAAGAGCTGATAAATGAAAGCAGATTAGTGTGATTTAAGTACATTATGAAAGATACAATCTGCTAGAGCAGAACTGATTCATCCTATAACTTTATGACATGGTCTATTTTATTTCTGAAAAAGACTATTTGCTATATAAAATTCACCCTGTTTTGTTTTTCTAGCCTCTTGAAAATCCAACTTTGTTTGTATATTAGTATAAGGTGCAATTTTTTCCTTTTCTTCAGCTTATAATTTTATAACTTGGTCTATTTTATTTGAATAAAAAGCCTGTTTATTAATAAAAGTTCACTCTGTTTTATTTTCCTAGCCTATTGTAAAGCCAAGAGCCCAAGATGTGGCTTAAATAATTTAGTTTCTAGCTTCTAATTAATGGTTAGAAGCTCATAGATAGTTAACTTGCATGAACATATAGTTACACGGCTTACACCTTTGATAGTTGTTGACATATGGTGGCCAAACACCAAGTTTAGCTATTATTTGTCAAACAGGATATTAATTGAGAGCTGGAAATGGACAGTATTGACACTGCTAGATTAATTATTTGCACATAGAGGAATGAGTTGTTTGACTCAAAAGAAAACGCAGCAACTATGCCCTTATAAATTTTTTACATATGTCATAAGTTTTTCATAACCGGTAATAAATTTCAACCATTTTTAGGAAGCTGCATTAGTAACTCTTTACTGTAAGCTTTGATTCTTCTTTGTGACTATATATATATAGTAGTTTATACATATTCTTCTATAGAATTTATGAAGAAGGAACTTACATGAAAATGAGAGCTGATAAATGAAAGCAGATTAGTGTGATTTAATTCCATTATGAAAGATACAATCTGCTAGAGCAGAACTGATTCATCCTATAACTTTATGACATGGTCTATTTTATTACTAAAAAAGACTATTTGCCATGCAAAATTCACTCTGTTTTGTTTTTCTAGCCTCTTGAAAGGCCAACTTTGTTCGTATATTAGTATGAAGTGCAATTTTTTCCTTTTCTTCAGCTTATAATTTTATAACTTGGTCTATTTTATTTGATTAAAAAGCCTGTTTATTAATAAAAGTTCACTCTGTTTTATTTTCCTAGCCTATTGTAAAGCCAAGAGCCCAAGATGTGTCTTAAATATTTTCATGTTTTAGCTTCTAATTAATGGTTAGAAGCTCATAGATAGTTAACTTGCATGAACATATAGTTACACGGCTTACACCTTTGATAGTTGTTGACATATATGATAACGTTTTTCCTATTCATATAATCTATCTATATATTATTAACTCAATTAAGTGACTCCCACCTAATCATTAGGGGTATTTGAGTAAATATCTGTGTAATTACTTATCTCTTCATTGCCTCCAACCCCTGCGTCTCATTCTTATCGTTTCCAAATGTTCAGAAGTTCCTGGCTATCACAAACCTTCTCCTTCTCCACTCCATGCTCACTTACAAACTCAACTAGCCTGAGATCTCCCAAATTTCTCACATACAATTTTACAAGACAAAGAACCCTTCAAAACACAAATTTGAATTCTTCACACAGTTTTGCAGATTCCTCCAAGATTTCTCAAAGCTCCTTTCTTACAAGTTCATTGGTTATTAGGTTAGTATATATGCTCATGCATGTATGAGGTCCAATTTGTTAATATGTATACAATTTACACTTACGTTATACTCCCTCCGTCCCCTTTTAAATGGGACGGGAGATGGTGACACGGGTTTTAAGAAAAGTGAGTTTGTGTGGTTGATATTAATTGATAAAGTAAGAATAAAGTAAGAATGATTTTGAGCCACACAAAGTTTACCAAATAAGGTATGGGACAATTAAATAGGGACATCCCAATATGGTAAAACGGGACATTTAAAAGGGGACAGAGGGAGTATATAATTTAGGGGACCAGTTCAGCCGTGTAAATATGGTTGCTTAGTATGTGTTCTGAGCTATTTGAGTTATTCAAAAGAGGAAGTAGTGCATTTCTCGATTTAAATTTGTGCTGGCTTTTCGGGCTAAGATTATAGTAAGATCATAAGAGAAGAATGCATTTCTCTTAACCAGAGAAGAATGATATAAAAGCCACTTATATCATCTTATTATAGTGCACTTTAGTAATTAGCTTTGGCTCTTGGTTTTCTAGAGTTTTAGTAAATCATCTTATTAAGAAAAGATTAATGAGAAAATCACTTCTACATAAAATCTTGATGTTTGCTCATATAAACAGAGTAATGCCCTTTTCAATTGGTGAAGCAAATAAGTAAACTATAATACTCTGCTCTACTCTTGCCCACTGACCCCACTCTAATTATAGGAGTCATATTTGCAAATCAAAGGTTTAAATTTTTAGACTTTTTGTTAATCTAAAAAGATAGGCATTTGCAAATCATCAAACGTTTTTATTTTTAGACTTTTTGTTAATCTAAAAAGATAGGCATTTGCAAATCATCTAAGTATAATTTTAATTTATTTTTTCCTAACGTTTTTGCTCTTTTTTTACATACTTCGTATTTCATAATTAGATTGTCATGTTTCATCGTTTTCTTTTTCACGTGCAACGGCGCAACGCACGGGTAAAAGACTAGTACTAGTACTAATGTACTATTTTACTACATTTTGACATTTTTTGGCAATATATGTTGTTTAATCAAAATGGTAGATACGCCCCCTGCTTCTCCCAATCGCACCGGTACCTCATCCCTGCCCCGGAACCAAACCGTAACCTCACACCCATCCACGCCTGCTCCCATCGTTTTCGCCTTTGGCAACAAGGTGCGTGGTTTTTCCATTTTGCTCATGTCGTTCCTTATTTGGAAGATGAATCACTAATGAACTCAGGGGTGAAATTTCTGGATGAAATAGGTAAAAAAGGTTTGTGTTGGGTGTATTAGCTATACATTTTTGAGGAGTATAAGAAAAATCTAATTCATTCCTTTCACCCAAAATGCTCTTTTTTATAGCAATGTTTGAAGTTCCAGATATGTATATGACATGAAAGGCGTAGAATGTGGTTGTAGGCGGTTCTTCAAATCCTCATTTATTTTCCCTTTCCTTTTTACAAAAAAATATAGTACCAAATTAATAGCAAAAATTGGTTTAGGGTGAATAAAACAAAAGTGCACAGTTGCACACACATGAAGGCTTATAGGAGGACCGAAAGTATGCTTCTTGGTTTAGTGTTCCTGGGTCAGTTAGGATACTATATATCTATATATGAAACCCACAGATGGCCCTTTGTATTAATATTGTGCTTTTGATCACTAATGGCAGACTGTCAATAAGGAAGACATTGAGAAAGTTAGTAAAAAAGTGTAAAGGTTGGTTTTTTATGGCTTGTTGCCTATAAGAAGTTGAGTGAATGGATCAGTATCAACCCCCCTATTTTAGGACTCTTAGATTCATGGGATATGCTATTGATTAAAAGGAATTTTTTTTAGCAAACTTATTCCCCCGTGTTTACTTATATGTTATATCTCAGGAAATAAAAATTAAGTGTAATGTGATTAAAGTAATTATTTTTATTTCGTGTCTCTTAAAGTTTTTTCGAATTCAAATAATAGAAATAACTTAGAAACTGAAAAAAAATAACTGACATTAACTCATTGAGTGTGAACTAATAATCCTTTGTCCTCTACATTTATTGGATAGTTAGCTGCAATTGACAAAGCATCAGACACTATTCCTTGCATGAGTACATCATACACTTAGCTGCATTAATTATAGGGATTTACAGGCCTGCTGTCTGCATTTGTTCTAGCCAAAAATTGAGTCCTTGAATCAGACACTGTCCTTTTTCCTTATAGACAACATTTCAACTTTTGGTTTGTCATCATATTGTTCAAAAGACCCGAGGATACATTTAGGGACAACCAAGAACAAAAGATTTTTAGATGTTAAATAGAGCAAACAAACCAGCCCAGGAATGAAAAATAAAAGTTCATAAAAGGCTGTACAACACCATATTGGGACCCTAGAAATGTTTTTGTTGAATATACACTTTCTTATTTGAAACTTTTTTCCACTATCCTTATGGAAACAAGTCTATGTAATCTACATACTACGAATTCTTCTCCTCATTTCATTATTGCGGTGAACCTGATTGCATTTCATAGGTGTGACAGATTGACCCGCTTTTACGTAGTAGTATGTTTACGGTTTTACTGTACAATAGGCTACCAAAGTACCTTACCGTCATGTTGCTGACCTTAGGATTGTGGAAATATTATCATGTTACTTGCCTTAAGGATTGCTAAAATATGCACCAAAAGTTTTAATTGTTTAGAAAAGATGTATTTGTACTAACATTTGTATAGGAAACCATACCAACACTTTTACATCTTCGTCTTTCCCCGTAGGTGATAACTCTTAAATAATTCTTTTTAGATACAGTTAGAAGGCAAATATGTAGTGAAAGGAAAATTTGCTTGTTTTGTAGTGTTTGTTTTACTATGAATTATATAGATCAGATATAGGCAACTTTAACCATTTTTATGATTAAAGTGCACCTAAATGTTTCGATAGTAAATATGAAGAAAAAAGGGATAATTTGAGTTTGCACCCCATATTATTGTGCAAATTGGACTTTGCACCTCATTTTTAAAAGTCTTTGTTTTTGCACCCCAACCCCATATGAAAAGACAAAAATGCCCCTCCATTAACAATTCTGTTGGCCTTCAACATATTTCTAATCAAGGACATTTTTGTATTTTCATATGTAGTTGGGGTGCCAAAACAAAGTCTTTTAAAAACGGGGTGCAAAGTCCAATTTGGATAATAATATGGGGTGCAAACTAAAATTAGCCCAAGAAAAAAAGAGAAACCCTCAAATGGTGGAACATACGATGCTTGATTGGGATTTTTCAAAAAAAAAGATGCTTCATTGGGATAGAATTCCCCTTTCTCTATTGATTATTTGAGTTTGCATGTTATTCGAGCAGGGTAGCCCATTTTGAAGGCCCAAGAACAATACAGCATGCACACTGACCAAAGAAGCGTGATTTCCCCGTGCTCCGCCTGTGCAGCCGTAGACGGCGGCCTTGTGATACCAGCGACGGATGCAATTCGTTCATTTCTCGTCGCTTCTACACAGGACTCTCACCTCGCTGAAGATATGAGAGACCTTGCTGCCTCACTCTCCCTGTTAGTCTCCATTCCTTACAAACCTCTTCGATCCGTATGGATGGGATCGAACCCGACAAAAAGACCCGAACTCCTCTCCCTTCTATGTGGAACCGATTTCATGTTCCCTAGCCCCAAGCCAAGAGAAAAGAGCAAGGAGCTGAAGGCTCGGCTAAGAAAGCTTGTGGAGGCATCGGAGAGGAAAGCCTATGAGGAATTGGTCAAGGACATAACCCCCAGGAAGAAAGTGGAAGAGCCTTTCTCTTCTTACAAGGATCAATTGGGATTCGGTAAGCTACGTTATTTTTTGGCTCTTTATGCTCATCTCTATGCATGATCATAAATATGTGAGGTTGCTATAGGCTGTTGCCATATTTATATCTTGAGGTGTTGGTGTAAAATGCAATTTTTATTTCTAGAATTTGAAATGGAAAGAAGCAAGCTTGGATTGATTTAGTCAGGAATTTGGATTATAGAAAGTATAAACAGTGATTAGCCTTGTGTGGTGCATAGGGTTGTAAACAAATCAAATAATTTGATTCGATCCGCGATTCGAGTTTGAAAATGTTGAATCGAATTCGAGTAAGTTGAATATGAATATGAGTACAAATCTGTTTTTTTATTCGAATAGTTTTCAAATACAAGTACAAATACTATGATATTCAATTCAAGCAATGTTCGAATATATTCAAATTATGTGTGTGTTTGTCCGTATATATTCATACAATATATACTATTCCTTATTAATAAATATAACTCAATGTAAAAATATTAATAACATACTTCGTAATATATATGTAAAAAACTAGTAGGTATTTTGCATATTTTAATTTAAGTGTTCTTACTTTTCCAGACTAAAATAGCTTATATTAGAGATATACTTCTCCGTTGATTTATTTATGGTAAATTCTATGGTACCCATAAGGTACCATACATTTGTCCACATGGACCTACCAGAATGTTGCAGTTGAATTATTTAAGTCTAAATTAAAAATGATATACCTATTTGGACCAATCAAGTGAATGGTAGGTACGGTACCCCATTTTTTAAATGGGTACCAGAGTTCTCACCTTTATTTATATTGAGGTTAAATTTGAAGAAGAGAGTTGTGTGTATATATATCTATATATATATATATTATTTTGTATGAAATATGGACTATGGAAATGAGGTAAAAGGGGGAAATTATTTTCATTATAATTTTAATTATTTTCATAAATTAACTTTAATGTTTTTCGAATTCAAATATATTCGAATATACCAAGCGAATCAAATACGAATGTAAAATAAGATTCAAATATTAAACGAATACGAATACGAATATTCTGTAGTCATACAAATAATATTGTCGAGTATTCGGTTTGATTTGATTCCTTGACAAAATGACAACCCTAGTGGTGTATAGTCCATCTTTATTATTTTTAAATTTGAAGGTCACTGGGAAGGATCAAGGACTGCAAAATGTAGCTCAGTGAATGATGCTAAGAAACCTAGCACTTTTGGTTTGCTTTCATTTTTATCACTTAGTTTTTAGATGGTGAGCAAACCCCATGGTTAACTATTCGAATTTTGGGTTTTGTATTTGTATTATGATTCATGTCAGAACTCAGAATATAAGACAGTATCAGCGTGTACCGTGTAGTATCTATGTTTGGTACGTATATGACATGCCCCTTCTACAAAAGTGTTTAGAAAAAAAAAAAATCTATCTCCAGGTAACCTCCATTGATGATTGACATCTCACATTGTGCACGATAACTTCATCTATAGGGGGTTCTACAGTTGGTACTTGCCCATGTTGCATTTCAGTCATTTACAGTGTATATTTGTTATTAAGGTGTAAATATCCTCTAGTTTTTTCTTTTGGAAATTCAAATTCGTAGTACCAAGATTGGGTAAAAAAATTGTCCTTCACACAAGGCTTTAAATAGGAAAACAATCTTTGCAACACATTTATACTTCTAAGATAGGAACAATGTTTTTTATTCAATTAAATATAAATTTTTATGAGTAAAAGGTCAGTTTGGTCCTCGAAGTTGCATAAAAGAGGTCAAATATGTCCTTTATAGAAGATTCTGTCCGGACGTGCCATTTGAGGCGGTTCCCGGTGGATTTTTTTGATAATTTTTTTTGAGAATCTTATTCATTAAGTCAAGTTTACTCATACCAAATTTCAGCTAAAAATTCAATCGGGAAGGCATTCAAATGAATTCTTGAAGATAACTGCGCTTTTAACTGCACAGTTATCTTCAAGAATTCATTTGAATGCCTTCCCGATTGAATTTTTATCTGAAATTTGGTATGAGTGAACTAGACTTAATGAATAAGATGCTCAAAAAATTTCATCAAAAAATTCCACCGGGAACCTCCCCAAATGGCAACGGCCGACGCCGATACTGTAGCAACTTCGAGAACCAAACTGACCCTTTACTTATATTTTTATTACATGATCATATATGTTCTCCTATTTGGATTATATTTTGCTCCTTCTCAAGCTTGATTTGGCTTTTAATTTTCATCATCAATTTGAAGGAATTTTGTTATTGTGAATGTATTTAATTTTTGTAAGTGATATCTGGTTAATTGCAGGCTTGCATGTTGTGCTTATTATGTTCACCGGCTTTTTGGTTGGATATGCTGCTTTCAGGGCATTGTTTAGTCACAGTCCAGCCATGGTAACTTGACAGCATATATTTGTATTTATTTATTGTTAGGCTGTGTGTGCGCTTAATAAATGATCACAACTTCCAAAGATTTAGCATACCTTTGCTGCTTTCTTCACATTCGGTGTTAGCTTTTCTTTGCTTAGTTGACATCAATTGTATTCTTTTTACAGAGTGCTGCTGGTGGTATCCTCGGATTGGTTGTAGGCATGTTGGTTGAAACCCTTCTTTTCGTTGTTAGAACTACTAGTATGGATCGAAGATCCAGTTTTACTTCTCAAGCGAAAAAGAATCAGTGAAGTTCACCATAAGGTTGTGTTTGGAATGCAGAACATGGTACGTGAAGGCAAAAAATGTTTAAAAGATTGAGATATGTTTAGATTTTTAGTTTTATCATAGAAATAGATTAGTTAAATGAGCTAGAACCAGTATAAAAGAAATAAATATACTTCGGATGAACAAATATTTTTTTCATCACGTTTTCTCTCCTTCCCAAATTCCCTATTGTTTCTTCTGTGTTTATTTCCCTATTCCAGCATTTAGACATTTGTGGTTTGATGTTTTCTGCTATTTGAACTGCAAAAAGTTTATATATGTTTGGCAATTGTGATATATTAAATTAAGGCCATCGTCTTATCTCTATTGCTGTCATATGCCACCTAGGATGTTTCCACAAATGCTCTTTGTGTAGTACATTTATTTAGTTGCCTAAGACATGATTTTAATTGTTGATGCTTCTACTATCTGAGTATCTGGTTCTATGGACAATATTGTGGTTTAAATGTTCCATGTAGAAAGTCGATTGACTAAAGAATGAGCAAAAACAATTGAAGCGTCCTTTAAATTTCAACAATAAATTTGATGTCCTTGTCTACTACCGCTACAAGGATCTTTTGCTGCTCCAACTTGTGCAGCACTGCAGCATATACCCTTTCATCCATAAAAAGCGTCTGGTTTTAAAAGTTATATCATGTCCCAAAGAGTACAATTTTAACAATGAAGATAGTTTCACATTGTCATCATTGTACTTTCAAAACTGTAAATTGCATACAAATATATATTTTACATTTGTATACAAATAACTTCCCAAAAAAGTGTTGCAAACAAGTTATACTTGATAAAGACTATATTTGGAAGAGAGTGTCAAATTGGCCCTCATATTCTATAAGGAAACTCATTCAGCCCTCATGCTTTAACTTCCATCAATTACATCCTTCTACTTCGAAAATGTCATGAAATCCATTTTTTAGTAGCCTAGTAGGTAACTCTGATGTGGCGCACATTTGGATTGACACAACACATACGTGGTGCTCATGCCCCATTGCCCCCCCCACCCCACCCTTCTTTCGTTTTCTCTCTCAATCCCCATTCCCTAGTCTTCTCTCGCAAAGCAACATCTTTTGCCTCGCAGGCAAGCATCTTGGAATCTTACAACGATGAAGCTAATTGGTGACGAAGAAGAGCCCCTCTCCTCTAGCCAGTAACCGTAAAGTCATTGTTGGACATCTCCAAGTTAACCAATTTCTAGATCAAGGGGAGCTTTGTCGCTGTCATCCTCTCTGGTCACTGTTCATTGTTGCTCTCGTCCAGCTCCCTCCGATTGAGTTGGTTGTCGTTCTAGATCAAGGGGAGCTTTTAACTTTGGCAAACTATGTCGTCTTGTCGGGAAACTCTCCACGATGACTTGTCTCTCCGGGGCCATCAGAATTTCGCTCCAAAACCTTCTCCACGAACTCAAAGAGCTAAAAAATATACATATAAAATGCAGTTATCTTCCAAAAACCATCTGACTGCCTTCCTGATTGAATGTTAAGCTGAAATTTGGTGTGGTTAAACTAGACTTGATGAAGAACATATAAACAAAATTTCAGAAAAAAAATACCACCGGGAACTGCCCCAAACGGCAGAGGCTGGAAGGGGCTCCTGTCCGGACCGACCAGACATGAATATTCCTTATAACCAAGCTGTTGAAATTCAGAGTACTAACATGGCCATTCAGAAGTGTTATTTATAGCTTCTATTGCTAAGCAAAACATTCTGAAGAAATAAATAATGAAATACTGCTTGTGGAGTTGTGGTACTATAGCTGAAACCATTCTAAGAAACAATGATTTTGTTTGCCCATGTTATTTATAAAGATCAAGGAGATAATGAGTTATTTAACATCATTTACAGCCATAACTCATAAGCATTACTAAGCAAAACGTTTCACAGAAACCATTGTATAACAAACAGACTTTGTATAACAAGCTGACCGAGTATACACACAAAAAATAAATTAAGCATCCATGGGCTGGGGAGCTTCTGTATGGGATATTTTCAGTGTTTTTCCTTCTCCCCTCGAGATATTTATTTTGTTCATTGTTTACCTCTTTACATAATTTTTTTAATACACTTGTTAGAGTTTACTGCTAAAACTTCCAATGCTTGTTATACTACCCTTACAAAAAATAGCATCCAATAAACTGATTTAGTACTTAACTGCGGGCAAGACATCAAGTTGGGAACCGAGTTTCTCCTCTGCAGCCTTCTCAGCTTTGATCCTAAGCTTTGTCAATTGCTTCTTCGTCTCATATGTGGCTTGTGACCTCTCTTTCCTCTTATCTTCCCAAACCTGTTATGGAATAGAGAGGGTAGTTATTTATATTATTGATTAGACAGAAAATGAACTATTTTAAATTCATTTTATCTCTAAGCCAATGATGATTGTATGAACATACACTATTCTTTTCAGTAATTATGTAACAATGTGAGTACGTAACTCAACATATCAGGCTTAGGGAAAGAGCACCCCATTCATCTAAAGTACACAGAAATGCCCACTCTCCATAGTTACAAAGAATTAAAGGTTTCCAGATGTTTATAAATGATAGACTCAGACTAAAAATAAGACATTTGACAAGTACCTTGACAGCAGGGGAGAAAAATATCATTTGTTTCTGAAATGAGAAAATAATATATGTTTATTAGAAAATGAATAGCCTATATTCGTATTGGAGTGCCATTTGGGCAATGGACCATCACCATACCATTACCATGTTCTATGAAATTCAGAACTGTCATAGTGCTTAATGCTTTTGAGCCCTTTCCAGTACATAGCAAAGAATGAAACTCCTCCCAATCAGCATCGGCACAAGAAGGGCTGCCAAAGTGTTGATATGGGATAAAAGAAATTTATTACTCCCTCCGTCCCATAATTATCTTCATTCTTTCCTTTTTGGTCCGTCCCAAATTTATCTCCTCTTTCCCTTTTTAGCAAAGGATTTGTGGTTCACAACCATTCTTACACATTTCTCTCTCATCTGCACAACTCTCCACCACACATTTATCACTTTCTTAATCTCCGTGCCCAGTCAAAACCGAAGTTAATTCTGGGACGGAGGGAGTAATTCTTCCTGAAGCCTCCAATAGCATTTTCATATTATTATCGATTTGAAACTATTATGAGAAAACATGAAAATTTGGACCTGCAATAATAGGTTTCTTATTGGCATCCCCCAAGACATGAAACAATTGGGGGCAAGGGAAATAGTTCTGAATATGGTAGCCGAATATCACCATTCATTAATGTTTGAACCAGATCCTTAGAGATGCTTACTTTGGGATTGGAACTGCTGGACAAACATCCCCCTTTCTCCTCCAGATTTTCTGTATCAAAACAATCTTCTTCATCAGAATGATCAGAGTCCCAACATTCTCTTTTTATGTGAACTTTTTTTCCTTCCACCATCATCTGTTTAATCAACAATTTTTTTCCAGCAAACCTGCCTCCCAATTTGATGTTCAATGGAGCCAATAAACCGGAAACAATAACTACACACAAGGCAATCAAGCTGCAAACAAGGAGAAACATTTGAGGCATGTGGGGGAAAAAATAGTTTACCATGTAGAACAAATGCATCTTTAGGAATGAAAAAAGGTAAAAAAAAAAAAACTTTCAGAACCTTATAAATGTTGTTCACCAACTAGCTTTTTATCTTTTAAAACAAGCTCCCCTTCAATTTAAACGCCCGTAAGGAATGCAAAGAATGAGAAAGAAGACAGAAGAGGCAACACTTCGAAAACGTAAACGGTGACAGTCATTAATACCGTGTTCGATGAAAAGAACAACCAGCTGGAGAAGAGGTATGTGGATGCCATTTAGCTTTGTATTTTAACGGAGAGACAACTTCAGGATGACTAAAACAAATGCTATAACTTCATTATGCTTTAGTGTTACACCAACAAATTTATATCCCCAAAAGGATTCTAGCCCTCATTGGCAGCATTTATAGTTTGTAAGATATATAGAACAACTGTTTTGTATAGATAAATATGAGATAAACAGTTTTAAGATTCAAAGTATACTTTTGTACTAGTTGATAAAAAAAACAACAACTAGCCTGAATTTTAGGAGCTATTAGTTTTTCTTTGATATCATGGAAAATGTAGACTGCGGATCAAATGCTGCCTAAAAATGGGGCCAAACAAGAAAATCAATCCCTATTTTTTAACAAAGAGTTCGTAAAAATGTTCTTCTCGACAGACCTTTCAAGTCCAAGAATGTTCTTCTCTTTCGACAGACCTATCTTGTCGGAGAAATGGGAAAGGATATGCTCGTTCGCCCTTCGTTTTGGAAAGTTCAGTCGACAGTAGCAGTATAGAACGGCGTTAAATTACAAGGTTATAAATGGAATTATGGAAAAACGGAAATGTGAGTGTGTTTACGGGCTGTAAATAGAATTTCCCTTAAAAAAACTCAGTTGAGACAAGTCCGAAACTAAGAACAAACCCACTTGTAAATGGAATAAGCTAATGCCTGAATTAATTGGGCCACGTTTCGTTGTGCTGAACACATTTTTTAAAATTGTAAAATCTAAGAAAATTTTAATCTCAACGATGTTTTTTTATATATTTAGGTACGATTCTTTTATATATATGTTTGTAGATTCCAATTTTACATACGATTCAGATTGATATGCAATTTTATTATTCAGTCTGTGCAAAATTGCAAACTACTATGGAATACTTTTCAGCTCTCTCGGGGTTTTCCAGCAAGTTATTTAAAAAAATGTTTTGGGATAGTTCTTCTCGTGCTCTTTGAGTTGTCTTGAAGCATATGCAACCACCTTTCCTTCTTGCATAAGAACACATCCTAGGCCATTAAGAGAAGAATCATTGTACAGTGAAGTCTTTACCCGATACTAAAATAGGCATATATAGGACACTAACCAAAACACTCTTGGACACTAGCTAGGCAAATCATGCACTGAGACACTTGGTATAATAATGAGACAATGAAACAAAAGTTGCCTCCATTCCATTTCTCTTGCACATTTCACCCATGCATGGAGTAAAACAAATCAATAGCTTTTTTTTTGCAAATAAAACAAATCAATAGCTTATTCCCCACGTGGGGCAGTTATAGTTCGATGGGCAGTTAGCCTAGGCCTAGGATCCAAACTAAAGAAAACTTAGTAGACATGAGAGAATGTAGGAGTGGGTCTTCAGGCAGAATTTGAATACCAACAATTTTTGTTATTTTTGTTATTCACAGGAAAGATTTTAGTTAGTACCATATACATAGTAAATGACATTTGATTTGTTAAGAGCCCGTTTGGTAAAACTAAAATTGGCTGCATTGGCTGATTCTGCTGAAATTTATGAAGTTCTGGCTGAAGTGGCTGTATTGGTTGATTTTGCTGATTCATGAAAAAATTATATTTAAAATATTTTTATTAATAAATAAAATAAAAAATTATATGAAAAAATAGCTAAAATGATCTTCTACAGTAACTTCAGCCAATACAGCCAGAAAAGTAACTCCAACCTTACTTTTTCTGCTTATTACACAATTCAGCGCGCGAAATAAAAAATTACGTGTTTCGTGAAAAAACTGGCTGATAAGCCTGATAAGCCGAAAAAGGGGTCACCAAACGGGCTCTAAGTGTCATTGTTTATTTTTAATTATTAAATGAGCATGTATGGTTTAGACCTCACGTGTGCATGACTTAAAGGTAAAACTGAAATTACTTGAATTGTTACTTTAAATAAATATATATATTACTTAATTAATTTATGCTCAAAAGGTATGCTTATTAGTTAGTGGATTAAATAAATTTATACAGAAATGTTTATACTTAAATAACGTTATAATTTCAAGAGGTATAACTTAAGATCGTTGTAAAGAGGTATATACATATAACATACGGAGTACTAACTACTAAGTAAAGTACGTATAATACAGGATGTTCCAAGAACGGTTATGTAATACTTCTAAGTTCTAAATATGTAAATTCCAAATATGTTCAATGAAATATTATTTCAGGCATGGGGAATTGGGGATACAGTTGTTTATTATTAGAGATCTAATCATGTAATCGTTTTTGGGATCAAATAACATCCCTTCGATTATCGGAGTAAATTCAGGAATATGACATCAAACAAAGCAGCTGCAGTTCACAAACTCCGTTCAACTAAGATAAGTGAAGAACCTTCACTTCTCATACGGTCTTTACTGAAAAAAGTGAAGTCATACATCTCATACACAGAACACCACCCACCGGCCAGTTCCAGGTAAGAGTAGTGGTTAACTGCCATTTCCCGGTAAGAGTAGCGGTTAATCGAAACTTTAACCAGCAAACCAACTCTGGTCCCGAGTCAGTTTCATACTTTCAGCCTTTAGCCCCATTAAAAGAAATACCATAACTGGTACAAGCAGCTGAGGTCCTACTTTGGAGGATCGTTTCCTGTTCAGAAGAAAAAACACAAGCTACCATTCTAGTTCTTTACCTGTCCGCTTCTGCCTTCCGATTCTATTCCAGAACTGAGTCAACCCCTACTATAAAGCTACATATTGCTTGAGCATATAAAATACGTAGCAATTTTTTAAGTTATCAATCTTTTCTCAGCTGGAAACATTCAAATTGCAACAGAACAACTTCCTACGATAAGAACTTGAAAGACAAAGCAGAATGAGAAGATCCAAGTATTATTAGCTATCATTAGGACACACTGTTTAAATATATAGGTGAAGAGAATATGGTCGTGTATATTTGACGTCTTTCATAGTCTGATCTCATCCATGAAATGTATCAATTCCTGTGTGGAGTAAGAACATATACATGTATTCCCTTGAGGTCATCTGAAGATTACAAACGATAGACTACAACAAGGAAAGCTTCCATGTTCTCAGTTCAATTAATTACAGGCAGCTAAGTTAATTGAGATGTACAGGATACTATAACCAGCTGGCCGGCTTAGTACTAGAGATTGGTTGAGGGGATAAACAATCTGCTGGTGCCTTTGCAAGGGAGCGATACTGCACTTTCACGCTTTCTGCATTGTCCAGCGTCTTCACCACATACCTGTATGGATCATGAAGTTTAATACTCCCTCCGATTCACATTCATCTTTACACTTTGACTTCACATATATTAAGGAAATAAATTTGACTTTACCGTAGAGTACACTGTTTGGCACTGTTTTGCACTGTTTGGTGTAGATTTGTAAGGCAAATAAGGAAGTGTAAAGTTTAATATGGTACTTCCAAAAAAAGAAAGTGTAAAGATGAATGTGAACCAGAGGGAGTATGAAAAATCTGGGGGTGAGCCATTTTTAATGGTTTGTATATCTTTTCTAAACCTGAACCAAAGAATGGGTTGGTACTTGCTCTTAGTTTCTTCATTTAGTTACTTTGTAAAGTCTACTGACCAAATCAAACATTAAGGATGTTTTTACTTGGACCGTAATTTGTCCTAGACCAGTCCAGACCAGACCAGACTTGGATAGTTATAAAAATACAAAGAAACCAGACTTTACCAGACCAGACGAGATCAGACCAGCAAATTACAGTCCAAGTAAAAACATCCTAACTCTTAACAGCCACGACTTTGATGCATTATTCAAAGAGTACAGATGATTACCATCCATTCAAGCACTGAGTGGTGACTATAGCCTCTCGTCCAACAAAGCGTGGAGGCGTGCGTTTGTTACCCTGTTTTATTATATTATATTATTATTAACAAAATTAAACCCCCTTTCTAATTCAACAATGAATCTAAATCCACATAGAATTTGGGGTTTCTTGAACCTGTATTATGACCCTATCAGCCACAGCAAATGGAAAATGCACTCCTCTGCCCCTCGGATGGTCTGTCTGCATTGAGTCAGAGGCACCCCTATTAACCTACACAAAATAATCATGTTACCCTAAGGTAAAATCCACGGATTTACTGTTTTGACGAACTCACAAAACTAATCAGGCACTCAGGCTATTGTGCCCAAGGTTATCTAGCACCCATATAGTGTTTCATCTCATTATAGACAATGGAGTAGGATGTTTTGTGCATCCCAATCAATTAGCAGTGTTTGGTAAATCTCATACAAATCCCTTATAACTTTGCCAACATTCATTTTTTGGTTGTCCTAAACACTTTTCCACTTTCTCTTTTAAATAAATAATTACTCCTTCCGCCCCCCTTTAAATGTCCTGTTTTACCATATTGGGATGTCCCTATTTAATTGTCCCATACCTTATTTGGTAAAATTTGTGTGGCTCAAAATCATTCTTACTTTATTCTTACTTTATCAATTAATATCAACCACACAAACCCACTTTTCTTAAAACTCGTGCCACCCTCTTCCGTCCCAATATAAAAGGGACGGAGGTAGTAGTTTGTAGACTTGCAGTTCATAATATTTCTCTCTCCTCTGCATAAACTTTAACTACATATTTTTTTACTTTATTATTCATTATGCTGGTTTAAGGGATGGAACCATGGGGGAGTATCTTTTCTAGCAAGAATGTTGCCACCGTATCTTAAGATACACAATATTAAATTCATTTGTAAACTCAATAAGGTAATGAATGTTTGCATTTTCAATACCTCATATCTTACAGTGATTTTATCATTTTAGTAAAAAAGACAATCACTTCGTGACAGAGTTTTAGTAATAAAACAATAAATAGTTTGGGATGGAGGGAGTATATATAAAGAAGAAGCTTCTAGAAACCTGTTCATGTCTTTCCTTTCGCCTTTTTGGTGGCCGATTCACATGGAAGTATTCTTCTCTACGAAAAGCCTGAACAGCAGCTCGGAGGGCTACAGAGGTATCGTAGCAAGGAAACCGCAAATTAACAGACTTTAGAGAATGAGGAATATGTAGTGTATGGTGTATACTTTCCTGAATTCTGTACAGTTTTGTAACAGGGAAATCGCAAAATTAGTTCCATAACTTAAGGGGACTTGCGTGTCTTCTAAGTTCTGTATAAAACGGGGTGACAATTTTGGTCCCGCAAGAGAAAAAATATGCAATTTAATGAAATCTTTTACTAAATTTCACTTAGTTCATATGAAAATATCTTGTGACCTCGTATGTGACAAGTCATTGGAGATTTTGACAGGATTCCATCAATCTAAGGAAAATTAATATGAAATCTTTGAGACTCAAAATCACAAAAACTAAACTAAAATTTTCCACATCTGAAGTATCCAATTTTGTCCAGTACCTGGTGTTGGGCTTGCAGACCGTTGGGAACCTATCCTTTTTCATAGTTTGCTGATTTTTTATAAAAATTATTTATTTATTTTGAGTCTCCCAAATAAATATTTCAATGGTAGCCTACCAGAATCCTAACAAAATACCAAATTCTTTCACGTGCAAGGTCATGTGAATATTCCAAGCAAATCAAGTGAAATCTAGTGAAGCATCTCACAATTGCGCAAAATTTTAAGTTAAAGGACCAAATTTACCACACTGAAGTATTCAGCAGAAGTGCATCTTTTTGTATGATTAAAACTCCTCTATTTATCAGAAAGATGAAGTTCTGTGATTTTTTCAGTCCGTAGACCGATGGAAAACAGTATCTGAGATACTGTACTTAGTGATCAATGCCATGCTTATTACTTCTGCACAGCATATCATGAAACAAAAGATGAAATTCAAAGCACACACTCATATGTTATGTACCCCATGTCAGCAGCTATCAGAAAAATATTTGGCATTCCCAAAATAGACGATCAAAGCAATAAAGTTACTCCATCCATCCCATTTTGTGAGATACACTTTCCTTTTTGAGTTGTCTCAAAATATGAACACTTTCCTAAATTGGCATTCACTAACATTTTAGTTTCCCACTTCATCCTTCACTCTATCATCTCAAATTCTCACCCTTTACTTTTTGTGAACGCATCTTGCTTTTTCTTACTTTTGGGAGGTTAGAACTTAGAATGATAAAGCAACCACTTTATCCTTTATTTTCTTAAGCACCAAACCCAGTACATTATGAGACGGATGGAGTATATCACAGTACGGTTGAATGTAAATTGGAAAAAAACATGCCAGTCCCACTTACAAAGATTTGGAGCTATTGATTCTTCAGAGACTGGTTGTGCACAATTATAGCAAGCTTTCTGGAAATACACCAAATAGTTTGTCTAATTGCATCAGATACATAAAAATTCTAAATCCAAATTTTGTAAGAAGCATCCCTGAAAATTAGGATTTAAATATTGACAACAGTGAAAAATGAATAAAAAGTATCCAGCATACAAGGAAAGTACAATTTTAGTTGTTTGTTTTTAGACCTTATATGCTAAAAAATGAAATGTACGGAGTAATTTATAAATGAATTTCCTGACGACTCACCATTCTAATTACATGCTGGACCCCACTATTACCAAAGGAATGCCCGCAAGGTAATATTACTGCATCATCCATAAGTGCACCTCTGTAATTAGCAATCAAAAAAAGCATTTTCATATGTCGTTTGACAAGACATTACATTTCATATGTATGCAGCTACAACAGAAAACTCTTCAAGATTTACTATAGCCCAACAGAGGTTTATGTACAACTTACGATATAGGATCAGACAGTATTGCTCTCAAGGACTCTCCGGGTTCACTGGAGTATGAGCTCTCTTTTCTCCCACTAAATCCACAACCATTATCGACTAATACTATTTCCTTTTGGCTTGAATTAAATGCTGATCCCTGAAAATCATATATTGCCCCATTATTTCTGGCTTCATCGAAACTGCTTCCACTCTGACACTGCATCCAATTCCCTTCTTTTGAACCTTATGGCAATCCAGAAGAAAACAAAGTAAGAATTAGGTTTCCAAGACTGGATTTTTTTACTAGACTAATCAATTTTAAAGATTAAATAGAAGCATACCAAAATTGGGCACATCAGTTGGTTTCTGATTTCCACTATTGTCAGTGCTACTGTTATTACTAACTTTATTAATATTGTTGTGATCATTTACATCTACACGCCCTGCATCTTCATTATCATCATCATCATCTTCGTCTTCTTCATCTTCCTCTGATCCGTCGCGGCTGGGGGTGCTTGAATCTCGACTATTCCACCGGTCGGCAAACATAGAGCCGCGAAATTCGGTAGCGGCCGGGGGCTGCGGGAGAAAGTAGTGGTGGTTGTTAAGGTAGCCAGTGAGCTCGCGGGTGGTTTTGGGACCAGGGCCGGTGACGGTGGCGGAAGTACCGGCAGAGGAATCGCAGTGAGGATGTTGCGGCGGCGGGCCGCAAGTGAAGCTCTCCGGGAAAACCATCTGGGGAAGTGAATTGACTCCATTATCAGGACGTTGGGCCGAAAAAACGCCCATTTCTTCAGAAGTCATTGAAGAACGAATCACAGCTGATGAAGACCAGATTGATTATTTTAGGGCTGTTTGTGGGTGGAAATTGAAGAGGGAAGAACAAAACGACATCGTAGCTTAAAGGTCAGGAGAGTGCAAAAATTGGACCTCAACTCTACGTGAAGTGTATACAGACCAGGAGCCGTAAATCTGGGCCCTAATGCTTTATTGGAGCCCACAAAATCGCAATTATCGTTGGTTCTCCCATCTCTATGGTCCAAAAAAAAAAAGATTAGGACAATCGGCAAAACAATTAATTCTACATTTAAAAAGATAAAAATATGACTATTTTTCAATTTCTTAAAAAATATGAAATGTATGTATAATATACACGGAGTATAATTATCTTTAAATTATATTTCATATCTAACTACGAATCAGATTGTTATTTGTTACCTATTCTAATTTTTTAGTTAATTACTTCTTCCTTTCTTTTTTAGTTGCTGCGTTCTAATTTTTATGTTTGTCAATGCATAATTTTGACCATTAATATATATTCATATCAGTAAAAAATTAAAATTAAAATCAAATTTTGAAAATTTAAAATGAGAGAAGTTTAACTATGTTTTTCAAAAATTTAATTTATAATATATAAATAAATAAAATGTAGTCACAGTAAAACATGTGAATATTGTAAATCCATCAATATTTCAACTAAAAAGAACAGATGTAGTATATTGCGGAAGGGCTATCCAGCAGTCCTAGGGTTTATGGCGCCGCTACAATCGTTGGTTGGCATTCTTGAGTCTATATGGCAGCGAACGACATGAGCAAGAGTCGGGATGAATTGGGTGACACAACAACAAACGACAAGAACTAGGAGAAAGCCGAGTTGAGCAGCACAACGGTGAACAACATGAACAAGAAGCAGAGTGAGTTGGAAGCGTTAATTCCTCAGTTGGCGGTTCATATGCCAGTATGACACATCCCCCTCTTGAACCGCTGTTAGTGATTGAGTTCCTAGGATTTGCATGATAACACTTCAAAGTTGGGGATTTGCTATCTGCGGTTGTTTGTTTTAATTTTATTTCAAGTTTTTATTTATTTGTCGTTAGACGATTTCTCTCATGTTTGGTTTGTGTGTTTGTGTCAATATTGAAATGTCTAGTTTTAGTGCGATTGGAGGTATTGAGGCTTCTAACGCCGTTAATTGCTTTGAAACTATCGCATGTGCAATGAAAAGTTTTGCTCAATTTTGGATAAACTTTTAGATGTCTAATTAGGGAGTAAAGGGATTTTATTATTATTATTATTATTATTATTATTATTATTATTATTATTATCATCATCATCATCATCATCATCATCATCATCATCATCATCATCATCATCATCATCATCATCATCATCATCATCATCATCATCATCATCATCATCATCATCATCATCATCATCATCATCATCATCATCATCATCATCATCATCATCATCATCATCATCATCATCATCATCATCATCATTATGATCATCATTATCATTATCATCATCATCATCATCATCATCATCATCATCATCATCATCATCATCATCATCATCATCATCATCATCATCATCATTATCATTATCATTATCATTATCATTATCATTATCATTATCATTATCATTATCATTATCATTATCATTATCATTATCATTATCATTATCATTATCATTATCATTATCATTATCATTATCATTATCATTATCATTATCATTATCATTATCATTATCATTATCATTATCATTATCATTATCATTATCATTATCATTATCATTATCATTATCATTATCATTATCATTATCATTATCATTATCATTATCATTATCATTATCATTATCATTATCATTATCATTATCATTATCATTATCATTATCATTATCATTATTATTATCATTATTATTATTATTATTATTATTATTATTATTATTATTATTATTATTAGTTTAGTTGTGAGCATGATGTAAAGTTCCGCAAAACAAGGGTTGGCATTCAGGATTGGAGTAGCATGACAAGTGATCTCATGAGAAGTTTCTCAGTGCAAACATGAGTGAGGGCAATACTGGAGGTCTAGATGCCATTTAGGATCGGAGTAACTGCCTCGAGCTCTACGGGACGGGGTGTTACATATGTACTCCAGATGAAAATCACCTAATAAATTGGGAAAATAATACTTCCTCCATCCTGAAAATTCTTCTCACTTGCATCTTTGGAACGTCTCAATTTATTTTTTCTGCAATTGGTAAGGTTTGTGTGGTTATTATTCATTTTCCTTTTTCTTACTCAACCGCAACTATACATTCCCACTTTATTCTCACTTTCTTAAATTCCGACCCATGTCAAACCGGGAAGTATTTTCTGGGACAGAGGGAGTAACTTATATATTACATAGTACTATGCAAATATAATCTCAATGCATTGATTGATCATCAATTTCCGAAGAAAATACTACATAGCATTAAATCTTAGCAATCGTACTACTTGTACACGCTGGATCACACATCGGTTTACGCGTCCAAGTGTAACTGTATGTGCAAAGACAATTGATTTTAATTTTAGTAAAAGAAAGTGTGTGTGACCACAAATTATGTGGGCACATACAATTCGTTTTTTGAGGGTCACATACACCGTTTTTTATTAAAAACAAAATCAATTGTCATGCATAGATAATTACACTTGACCGTGTAAACTGGCGTGTAAATCAGCGTGTACAATTAGTACTTTTCGTTCTTTAATGAGGCGATCGAGTCAATCTCAAACATTTGGGACCATCTCCATTTCGAAGGCCATTTTCAATACTCCTTCCGTCACGAAAAAGGTTCACTAAATTGACTTTTCTTGTGAATATGAAAATGATATTAAAATGTTCTTTATTCAAAATATTTTTCAAAAAATTTATAAGTTTATGGATTCATACAAATATAACACGAAGTAATTAACATCGTTGTTCAAAGTTTGACAATATTGATTAAGAAAAGTTAATATGAAGATTATTTTGAGGACGAATGTAGTACTCCGTATTAGGAAATTGCGTCGGACACCAAACAAAGTTGATTATTTATTGGGGAATTTGACTTTACACCCCACTTTTTAGGTGATATTGGACTTTGCACCTCATTTTCAAAAAACTTTAACTTTGCACCCCAACACATATCATTTTGCGAAGAAAAATTTGTAGATGAGGTGCAAAGTCAAAGGAACTTTAAGTGGAATGAGGTGCAAAATCAATTTTTTTTCAAAATAGAGTGCAAAGACCAATATCACCTAAAAAGTGGGGTGGAAAGTCAAATTTTCCCTTATTTATTTACCGTAAAGGAGCGCAGGTGATTGAGTAGCCGCAAATCCCATATTCGCATGCCACATTCAAGAAAATTTCCTTTTGTACACGTTTTTATACCTATCAGTACACGCTTGTGTCTGTGAGAGTATTTTTTTGTCTATGATGCGCAGTGCACAGACATAAGTTGGCTTGTTTTGTCTGTGAAATTTTCCACAGACAAAACAAGTCAGCTTTTGTCTGTGGACTGCGCTTCACAGACAAAAAATAACTCAGCTCTCACAGACACATGCGTGTACTGATGGGTATAAAAACGTGTACACCAAGAATTCTTCCACATTCAAACAGGGGCGGATCTGGCCCATGGCCAGGGTGGGCCTAGGCCCATGCTAAAAAAAAATATAATTATTAGTATATATATATTATGTATACAATAATATATAGTGTTTTAGTAGTCATGATATAAAAAAGGCAATGCCAATTTGTGAACATCAGTCAAGTTGGTCCATTGGAAGCATACTAATTATGCAACAAAAGGAGTCAGGTTCGAGTCCCCTGGGTACCATATTTATAATTTTTCAATGCAACATGAGTAAATTTTTTTATACACTTCCAAATTGTTGGGCTTTTGGTAACTGGTATGCAAAATTAGTTCAAATCATTTGGCTTTTGAATATTAGCTTGAAAAATTATTCAATTCGATTCATTAGAATTTCGAATATTAGCCTAAAAAATTAATTAGTTCACATCATTGGACAATTGAATATTGATTTGAAAAATTAATAAGTTCAATTCATTCTGCTTGGTAGGTGAAATTTAATTAGTTTACTTTTATTTACATAGAGCATAGACTATGTCACTATGGAGTCAAAAGAAAATTGAATTTCCAGAAATGAATTTGAAAATTGGTATTGAACACGTCATTAACCGACGCGAGCCAATTTCGGTTAGATATCTATGGCTCTTTTAAGATAATTAAATTTTTGGTTTTGTAATATTTATTATTTTTTCTTTGACACTTCTGTAAAATTATATAACTAAATCTTGTAATTTTAACATTTTTTGCAAAGTAAAACATGTATCACTAATTAAAATTTGGCCCCACCTCAACGCAAATGCTAGATCCGCCCCTGCATTCAAACACCTCTTATCTTAATTGCATGCTTTAAAGTTTAAATCATTTAATTTTCTACCTTGGTGGGACGTCCACTAATGGACCTTTTCTGTTTTCAGACCATAGCAAGGAATCTCTGCAAAAGAAACTGAAGAAACATGCTTTCACTTGCACCCAAGAACATAAAGTTATTTTTTTTATACTCCGTAACTTTTTATAGTTCTACGACCGTCCACATTCAAACATCTCTTATCTTCATTTGGACTTAAACATGATTATATTTTCTGAGTTTTGCTTTTAAAAAATGAAATATGATAATTCTATTTTGGAATTCTACAACCTTTTTACCTGTTTTGGAAATTTTCCCAAATTAATTATATAGTCATACTTCATCTGTCCCACAAAACTTTATCAAATTTGACTTGCACATGGAATACTTAAAGGAGAAAGAGAGACAAATAAACAAAACCAGTGTTATTGAACTTTGTGCAGAGGACATAGAAATATTTTGAACCACAATTTTTTACCGAAAAGGGGAATGTGATAAAGTTAGTGGGCTATGACGAACACTTCGTCGTAATGCGTCAAAATAATATTCGATACTAGTACTTATACGTGGTATAGGTGAAATAAAGTTTGTATCCACAGGGAAAGGAATAATTCTCTTTTTAATAAAACTAGTAAATAAAGGAGGTTTTGGGATTGAGTGATTTAATTTAAATAATCACGAAGATGAATGACATATGAGATTTATTTC